CTGTTGGTGAAGAGGGAGAGGAGATGAAATGCAGCATTGGGGGGATGGGTTTTGGAGTGTATTATAAGGAGGGGGCAGCGTACAGCATTTGGGGGTGGGGAGTTGAAACGTGGCATTAGAGGAAAGGGGGAACATATAGGTATTATTGGTAAAGGGAAATACAGCATAGTGGTTGGAGAACAATGTTAGAAGGGAGGGTAGGGTGCAGCATTAGAAGAAAGAAGGGTGTTGAAATGCAGCATTAGGGAGAAATAAATTAAATGCAGCATTGGGTGATGAGGGGCTAGTGAAAAGCAGCATTAGAAGGAGAGAGTCGATATACAGCATTGGGAGCACCGGGTGAACTACAACACTTAACAGAAAGGAGTGATATTCAGCATTAGAAGTTGAAGGTAATATACAACCTTAAGAGGCGGGGTTAAGATGCAGCATTCAGATGACCGAACTGAGTTGCAGCATCATGAAAAGGGGCCTAAATGTCACGTCTAGATATAATATATATATATATATATATATATATATATATATATATATATATATATATATATATATATATACACATATACACACACACAACGGACATCCAAGACTCATATTCTTCGAGTCATTATACAGCATTTGTGAGAGAGGCTATAAATATCAATCAAACTCTTAATTCCTTAGAAAAACTTCAGAAATAGTAGATTGATACAGAAGGAGGGAGAGAGGGAGAGGGAGAGGGAGAGGGAGGGAGGGAGATGAGAGAGAGAGAGAGAGAGAGAGAGAGAGAGAGAGAGAGAGAGAGAGAGAGAGAGAGAGAGAGAGAGAGAGAGAGAGAGAGAGAGAGAGAGAGAGAGAGAGAGAGAGAGAGAGAGAGAGAGAGAGAGAGAGAGAGAGAGAGAGAGAGAGAGAGAGAGAGAAAGAAAAAAGAGAGAAAGACACAGGCAAACCACCCACACACAAAACAAAAGCTTCCCATACACAAAAGCCTCGAGGATTCTTATATTCGTTTCTCAGAGAAGACATGGAAGTGTTTGAGTATTACTGAAGGTTGAGTATTGATCTTCACCGGGTCTCGAATGCAGGTTTCTTCTTTTCTTTCTCTTAAATGCGTACTATTTGCAATCTTCAGTTAATGATGCTAGTAATAATGATAATGATAATAATAAAAAATATAATAATAATAATAATAATAATAATAATTGTACTACTACTACTAATAATAATAATAATGATATTAATGATAATAATAATAATAACAATAATAATAAATAATGGAATATAATGATACAAAAAATTAATAAAAAATAATAGTAATAGTGATAATGATAGTATTAGTAGTAATAATAATAATAATAATACTGATAATAATAAAATAATAGCAATTATGATCATAAAAATGATAATAACAACAATGACAATAAAATAATAATAACAATAATGATTAGATAGTAACAATCTTTATAATAATAACAATAAAAGTAATAATAAAAATTACTAGATACAGCACTTCTACTCATTAAATTGGCCTGTTATATTGTTCTAAAAGAGAGTTGTTACTGTTAATTCTGGAATTTTTGCAGCTGTTATGATTAAGAACTGTTCTTTGATTGCTGTTCAGATGGGCTTATGAGAGACTGAGGGAGACATTGGTGAATAGACAGACAAAGATAATAAATGACCCACAGATAGACAGGGATATATAGGCAGCTAGACAGATAAACAGATAGATAAGTGGATAGACAGACGAACAGATAGGTAGATAGATAGAGAGGGAGAGAGAGAAAAAAAAAGACAGACAGACAAAGACAGAGAGTGAGGAAGAGACAAAGAAGGAGCGCGGGAGACCCGACCTTACCTCCGTGCCTGCTGCACCCCGACTGGCGTCCTCCGCTGCACCCGGACCGCTCGGTACCTCCTCCGATAACGCAGCGGAAATCCAATTATTTCGAGCGTAAATTTGATGATAAAGAAAAAGCTTGACCTTCATGGGTGCCCTCGACCCCTAGCCCCCCTCTCCCCCTCCTCTGTCACTGGCCAACAACCGAGGCACAAAATAAGCAACAGTTTGTTTGTGAAGAGGCAAGGTGTGTTGATTGCAAGCGGTTACTGCATGCAAGCCGCCAGAGGGAGAAATGTTGGGAAAGTTATCGTTTAGTGATGGAAACGCAAGATGATAGATTTCCAGTTTCTCTCTCACCATTTCTCTCGTTGTGTTTGTATATATGTATATGTATATATATATGTACATATACACAAATACACACACACACATACATACATACATTATATAATATATATATATATATATATATATATATATATATAAATAGATAGATAATTAGATATAGATAGATAGATGCACACTCATGCATAGATGTCTCTGTCTCTGTCTCTCTCTCTCTTTGTTTGTGACGATTGCGTGCATGACACATCGCTCGCTGTTTTCTTCTTAACCTCATGACTGACACAAGACCGGAAGTGCAGTAGGATTCATGTTTATATTGAAGCGCATTTATATAACTAAATAATGGGAGCAACTGATTTACAAAGCGGGTTGCTTTAATTCTTTCTCTTTTTTTCTCTCTCTCCCTTTCCATTGTTCTTTCTTTTTCTTTTTTCTTTCTTTCTCTCTCTGTCTTCTCTCTTCTTTTCTCTCTCTTTTTTTCTCTCTCTCTCCATTTTCTTTTTCTTCTACTGTTTCGCTCCCCCTCTCTATCACTGTTCTCTCTCTCTCTCTCTCTCTCTCTCTCTCTCTCTCTCTCTCTCTCTCTCTCTCTCTCTCTCTCTCTCCTCTCTCTTCTCTCTCTCTCTCTCTCTCTCTCTCTCTCTCACTCTCTATCTCCTCCCTCACTCTCTCCCTCCCTCCCTCCCTCTCTTCTCTCTCTCTCTCTCCTCTCTTCTCTCTCCTTCTCTCTCTTCTCTCTCTCTCTCTCTCTCTCTCTCTCTCTCTCTCTTCTCTCTCTCTCTCTCTCTCTCTCTTCTCTCTCTCCCTCCTCACTCCTCTTCTCCTCCCTCTCTCTCTCTCTCTCTCTCTCTCTCTCTCTCTCTCCTCTCTTCTCACTCTCTATCTCTCCCTCTCTCTCTAGCTAACTTTCTTCCTATCTCTTTCTATCCCCAAAATCTCAAAATAATTTATGGTTATAAAAGAAGAAAAACAGGAGACAATGAAGAAAGGGAAAGAACGACAGAATGAGAGAAAGAGAGAGAGAGGGAAAAACAAGTAGATAGAAGCAAGAAAAAGAGAATGAAGTGAGAGAGGAAAAGCGAAAGAACAAGAGAGAGAACTAAATACTACATGGTGATAATAACGAATGATAATCATGATTGTGATGATGATAATTATAATTAGAATAATACTGATAACGATGATGATAAAGACAAGAATGACAATAATGAGAATGAAAATGATAATGGCAATTCAAAAAATAATGATGATGAACATAATGACAATAATGATAATAATAGTAATACTAATAATGATGATGTTAGTGGTAATAATATTAATATTAATGATAATGATAATAACAATAATCATAATGATTGTGATCATAATAATGGTATTAGTGGTAATGGTAATGATATTAATAATGATAAAAAAAGATAATGATAAACACAATAATAATAATAGTAATGATGACAAAATAATAATGATGAAAGTCAAAATAATAGGAATTATAATAATAATGATGATAACAATAATAATAGTAATAATGATAATGAAAATTATAATGATAATAATAATAATAATAATAATAATAATAATAACAATAATAATAATAATTATGATATTAATGATGATGGGAGTAACATTAATGATAATGACAATAATAATAATGATGATGATAAAAATAATAATAATAAGGATAATGACAATAATGACGACAATAATAACAATGATAATAATAGTAGTGACAATGATTGTAATGATAATGATAATAACAATAATAACAATAACTAAACAAACAGACATACAAGAAAAGTCACTGACCCTTATGTCACTCCACGGTGAGGGTAACGCCCCCACATACTCTCTGCGTTATCAAAACAGTGGCATTTCTTGCTGTTATTTTCACTGATATCGAAAAATGGTGAGAGAGATAAGAAGAGATGTAGAGAGAGAGAGAGAGAGAGAGAGAGAGAGAGAGCGAGAGAGAGAGAGAGAGAGAGAAGAGAGAGAGAGAGAGAGAGAGAGAGAGAGAGAGAGAGAGAGAGAGAGAGAGAGAGAGAGAGAGAGAGAGAGAGAGAGAGAGAGAGAGAGAGAGAGAGAGAGAGAGAGAGAGAGAGAGAGAGAGCTTGATTGAGAAAGAGCGAGAACAAGAGAGACAAGCAGACAGACAAACAGTTAGAGAGTTAATGGAACAACAACCTTATTTATGTTGATTCGCAGCTTCGACCGCCATAACACTGAGGTGTTTCGTCTCAACTAAGGAATTCTACCAACGCATGTGTNACAATGAAGAAAGGGAAAGAACGAACAAGAATGAGAGAAAGAGAGAAGAGAGGGAAAAACAAGTAGATAGAAGCAAGAAAAAGAGAATGAAGTGAGAGAGGAAAAGCGAAAGAACAAGAGAGAGAACTAAATACTACATGGTGATAATAACGAATGATAATCATGATTGTGATGATGATAATATAATTAGAATAATACTGATACGATGATGATAAAGACAAGATGACAATAATGAGAATGAAAATGATGTGGCAATTCAAAAAATAATGATGATGAACATAATGACAATAATGATAATAATAGTAATACTAATATGATGATGTTAGTGGTAATAATATTAATATTAATGATAATGATATAAACAATAATCATAATGATTGTGATCATAATAATGGTATTAGTGGTAATGGTAATGATATTAATAATGATAAAAAAGATAATGATAAACACAATAATAATAATAGTAATGATGAAAATATAATGATGAAAAGTCAAAATAATAGGAATTATAATAATAATGATGATACAAATAATAATAGTAATAATGATAATGAAAACTATAATGAAA